TTGACTCCTCAGAATTTTTCTGACTTCTTAGAACTTAAACAGATAGGTTGAAGGAATGTTTATTGATGCTGAATCTTATCCAGCATTTTTGCATTTGTAAACAGCAGGGTTTTCCAGGCATTCTAGACTGCCACATTTTCAGAACTGGACACAGTTTCCAGGATCTGGATATTACGGTTCTAGAATTGTGGAACCTCCTTCTGTTTGAGGAGGATGAAGTATTCCTTTGTACATGACAGCAACAAGATTAGACATCCAGAAATGGGTGGGTGTTAGAGGTGGCAGGTATTAAGCAAAAAAAAAAAAAAGAAATGAGTATTTATTGTGTCCCCGATTGTGGTAAGCTCTGGGTTTCCCTGATAACATGTACTGAGCAGTTGTCTGTACACTGAGCACCGAATCAGAGCTACAAGAATGAATGTGGGATTGCTTCCACAAGGAAGGATAGTCCAAGGCTAGGCCAGCATCTTACACATATGGTGGGCACTTGGTAGCAGCCTCAGCTGACCTGCTACGTGAGTTTCCTTGGTGACGCTCCTGGCCCCGGTGCTGAAGAACCATGGGTCTGGGAGAGAGGGCACAGTTTAAGGTGGCACCTTGGAAACTCCAGGTGAAGTGTGTGGACAGGGTGGGTGCCTTTGGCACGGACCAGAGGGAACGAGCTCTGTGTGCTGAAGGCACAGCAGGAGCACAACACAAGCTTGATAGGGATGGAAGATAGGGTGTGGGGGTCATTGCTTTACTCTCTAGAATTTGGCTTATCATTATGATCCCCCCTCACACGAGAAGATATATTCGTATGTGGTAGTGATGGAGGCAGGTTACCAGGGGTCAGAGAAGAAAGTATGTAGACTTTGTCATCTCCAAGAATTTCAGTCAACCCCCCTGCCCTTTATTCTTCACTCTGCTTCAGGCCAGCTCAGCAGCTCTCATTCTGTGCTGTCACTCCTCCCCTCTTTAATGGCCAGGTACAAGTTAGCTGCAGCTCACAGAGCTGTGTCAGTCCTGCGTCTTGTAAGGAAGCCTGACCACTCCTACCCCTTCCGAAGGGCAGGGCTGGGGTGCTTAGCAGGTGAGCAGCTGCTCGGGGTGATAGTGCGGCTAGTACAATGCCTTTGGCAGGTAAACAAGCATCGGGAAGACCATTTTTGTAAACTTAACCAAAGAAAACACTAAGGGGTTTCTTTCTTCATTCATCATCCTGTGATCAAAAATCGGGACTGCAAGGCTCTGTAATCTGTTCATGGCCATTTCTGCCTGCACGTGGTTCCAGTTTATGGGGCTGGTAGCAGTCTTAGATGTAGGATGTGTTTGCAGTGCTAAATCCAGTTCTTCCTGCATGAAGGAGGACGTTGGCCTGCCTTGAGCTCACCCCTCTGCAGGGACAGTAGTCACTTCCCAGCTCTTTCCTGCAGGCTCTGGTTGGACAGCCAGTCCTGGGCACACCAAGTGGTCTAGGCCAGTGGTCAGCAAACTCATTAGTCAACAGAGCCAAATATCAACAGTACAACGATTGAAATTTCTTTTGAGAGCCAAATTTTTTAAACTTAAACTTCTTCTAACGCCACTTCTTCAAAATGGACTCGCCCAGGCCGTGGTATTTTGTGGAAGAGCCACACTCAAGGGGCCAAAAGAGCCACATGTGGCTCGAGAGCCGCAGTTTGCTGACCACTGGTCTAGGCCACACCTGGAGGGTGCAGGGCCCTCCTGCACCAGACAGTGACTGACGCTTCCCGAATGTTGGGCCTGTGGCTTGTTCCTGACTCTACAGGGCTGTCCCGGCTGCTTACACCACCAGCTGCTCGGACATGGCTGTAAGGTGGTGTCCTCAGAGAGGCGAGCCCCTCGTCTGCAGGAGCAGGACAGCTGGTGGCCGTGCACAGCTGGCAGTAGGCGGAGGCTTCTGCACGTCATCCGCCGTCCCTGTCATTCCAGAGCCCACTACACTGAAGATGGTTAGTAAATACTGTTGCCTGCTGTTAAGGGAATTACAGCATTGTTTTTGTTGTCTAAAAATTAGAAACAACCCAAATATCTACCAGTATGGAATTAAATATCCACAGAGAAATTCTATGCCGCCATTAAAAATAACAAGATTTACCTATAGGTATTGACAAGGAAAGAACACTCATGGTATTTAGTAGGAAAACCAAATTGTAGAACAATGGTCCCATTCATGGAAAAGAATAATTTTATATACACAGACAGGGAGAGGGAGGAGACAGGTAGACACAGACAGGTGTGTATAGAAGAAGTCTAGCAGTGGATACACTAAGCTGTTCAAGTGGTTATCTCTGAGAGGTGGATGCACAGAAGGTTACTGTTTCGTTATAAATTCTGTTATGTTAGATTAATTTGAATAAAATTCAAAGTTAGGATTCTAAGACTAGGATTTATGAAAATACTTTAAGATCCCTGAAGTTTTTTTCAAACAATGTTTGCTTCCACCGAGTGCCTCTACATCTGCCTGGAAGCTAAAAAGAAAGAAAAACCACCCAGAATACATCTCCTGTAGTTATCTTTGCAAAATATATGCCACTCTGAACGTGGCTTCCCTGTTTTAGAAAATTCTCGAAGAAGCATTTGACTCCTATAAAGATATGCCCTGTAATCACCATGTAAGCTCTTTTGTAATATCCACTTGGCATTTAAAAGAAAAAATCCTCAGCAACATCTATTGATTGGCGGTCGCATTAGTGTAGAATATTTTCTCCAAGATTGTAGCTATGGATAGTTTTTTCCTTCTTTCCAGCATATCCCTACACCGCTGAGGGTGAGTCAAGTAGCCATGGGTTGATACTCACCCAACTAGGGCAATAAAGAGAAAAATTAGTCTAATGCATGGTCTTAACAAGAGGGAGAGTGTGAGCATGAATAATTAATCTCACTAGTCTGTGGCAGTCAGATAAAATGAAGTCCCATTTGCTCAACCTTATTAAAAGAGAGAGAGTACGGGAGGGAGGCGGAATGGAGCAGGAGGAATGGTAAAGGTCGTTAAGGGATTTGTAACATGGAAAGAACCGCCTCCAAGATGGGTAATGTGTTTTCTGATCTCTGTGGTCTTTAACTAAACGCAATGGTGCAGGTACTGTTCGGATAGTTGTGATTCATTGAGTTACTAAGCATTGTAGAAGATCCTGGAGTCAGATGTTATGCAGAGACTCTCTGCAGAGGGATGCGACCTCACTGTGTCCCTCAGAAATAGTCCATCCACTTGTAAATAAAGAACTAGAAAAAGTAAAGCATAGGAACTGACTCAATATCAGATTTTAATCTTTATATTTACCATGCATATTTTATATTTTAAAGGCCTACCTTCTGAATATAGAAGTTGAAGTATTTTAAAAACAAGATATTGAGCCTTACCTGGTTTGCTCAATGGTTAGAGTGTCTGCTTGCGGGTTTAAATCTGGTCAAGGGCACATAACTTAGTTCCAGACTCAATCCCCAGACCCCATTGGTGCCAGTACAGGAGGCAGCCAGTCACTGTGTCTCTCTCACATCAGTGCTTCTCTTTCTCTCTCCCCCTCTCTTCTACTCTCTTAAAAAAATAATACTAATAATGGGGGGGAAAATCCTTAGGTAAGGATTGACAACAACAATAGAAAAAAAACCCCCACAAGATATATTGAGTCCAAGAATCCTACTGAAAGGTCTGTAATGATGGGTGTAAAATACTACTTTTATGATAGACCATGAAGTTGCTGTTTTTAATTTTTTTCTTTCTAGGAGCTGATTTTATGCAATTTTTATGATATTCACTGTAGATAGAAGATTTGATTATTACTGTGTTCTTACTTGGAGGAAGAATCTTATTCTGGGTATTTTACAATTGTTGAAATTTTCTCAGAAACTTTTATTTTCAACTGCATAAAAATAACATTTATCTTGCTTACTCTAGTCTTTATGGGTTAAAGTTTGAAATCGCCCTCTTCCAGATGCTGCTGTGAGCAATAGTTAGTATTATAGTGTTGCCTGGACTATTAGGAATTTCTAAAGAGTCACTTGTTAGAAATGTGTGTTGACAATGAGATTGATGAAGTTCAAGGTGGAGACAATTTGTTCATTTCTCAATACTAAAATAAGAACCTGTATACTAATACTAATACTTGATAAATGAATAGGCACTGAACAGCGTTGTTGAGGAGGCTTTTTGACTGTGAATTTGGGGGCAAGAACTGTGTCCTCGGTACTTACAGCAGTGACTGACCCATAGCAAGCAGTTCATGTTAATTAAGTTGAACTGAATTACCAAGTTTTTTTTTAGTAGAAGTCTTAAATCTTCAGAAAGATTATGAATCATCTATTTTCCTGTTGCTGGAGAGAAGGCACAAAAGTGTTTACATTTAACAAATATATTGTCTAGAGACGAAGACCTCCTTCCTATTTGCCCCCATACCTTACGGAACAGAGCTCCTTAAAGTGAGCAAGTGGAGAGGGAAGAGGGAAGCACTGGGGCCAGGTCTCTGGGTGTGTCGTTTGGTCTAAAGGACTCATCTAGTGGTTCACTGTGCAGGCTTCCTTCTCCTGGATGTTTGGACCATTCTTTCCTGTACCTCCCATGGTATGAACACAGGAAGCGGAAGAAGAAAGAACCGGCGAGGCTGGCTGCATGCTTCTGCACCTGCTCCTTTCCCATCGATTCCAAACCAGGCAATATCAGTGACCCTCATCTCCACGCCTCTTTCTCTGTTAGGAAACGCAGACCTCATTTCTCCATCTGGCATTTTTCTGTGTGTCCTTTGAGTTTGTTTGCACCTTGGACTGAGGAATTCTCTGGATTGCCCTTTACTTCCTTTTGCATTTCCTTTTGTCGTTCTAACAGCCCTGTCCCTACAATCTCACTCCCTGGACAAGGTCAGGGTGTGACCAGGTCAGGGTGTTGAGTGGCAGAGCGTCTTTCCTAGGGGCTGGGGCGAGGCTGCCTGGAAGTGCGGAAACAAAGCGTGTGGGTGTAGGACTGCCAGACGTAACGGCACCCGCGTGTTCCTTCTCCCCAGATCCTGGTCTACAGCCTGGAAGCAGAACGCTGCCTCTCGAAGCTGGGCAACACGCTGGGCGACTTCTCCTGCGTCAACCTCAGGGACAGCCCCCCCAACCTCATGGTCAGCGGCAACATGGACAGGAGGTACGTCTGAGTAACAGGTTTTGTAGCCATGGCCGATGCTGCCGCCGCCGGGCCGCCCGGCCTCACTGCCCACGTGTCCGCCGCGGCTCACACTCGCAGTGCTCACTCCATGCTTCGTCCCCGTGCTCAGCTGATCCCAGCGATGCTGTCTGTGAACCGGAGAACAAAGTCTCCTATTAGGTAATAGTTGGAAGGCGCTGTCTCTGCCTCTTTCTGCGGCACCACAGGAAGGTGGTCTCTAAGCCATTTGGTGGACGCAGTTGGTGGAAGGCCCAGTGAGACCACTTGGAATAAATTTGTTTGGCATTTAAAAGCTCACTTTCTAATATTAAAAACAATAACCTAAGGGATGAATCATGTCCAACGAAATGGGGTTGCCTGCCAAATGATGTCAAGAGTGTGTTTCCGAGCGCCGTGGCGTCCCTCTGGTGATGGGGAAGGGGCCGCATGTGAACAGATTCCAGTTCCTATTTAGGTGATTAGCAGCCTTCTCTTCAGCATGCTGGCTCAGGGAGTCGGGTTTTCCCGGTGCAGGTCCCGTGCCAGCCACGGGCGCTCCAGGAACCGTCAGCACGAAAGGATTAAAGTGTTTGAAAAGACTCCGTGTCCAAATTTTAGTGTTTTCCCCTCCCCACCCCCGTGTCCTCTCCCCATGTCTTGTCTTTTCATTTTTTAAATGTCTGGCTGGTTACCGGCCGTGTCTGATCCAGCCGGGAAGAGAGGTGGCATGGCTAGCGGCCAGGGTCTGCCGGCCCCCCTCTGCCGGCCCCCGGCTGCAGGTGGTGGGCTGCTCGGCGGGGGGGTCAGATTACGAGCGAGGACTCTTTCGTGCCAAGCCCCCCATCTCTGTGGCACCAGTGCGGCACTTGCAAAAATAATCATTTTGTCAAATAATATTTTCAACTCCTGACCTTCACCCCTCTGCTACCCCTTCCCCTTAGAGCCAAAAGAAAATGTGAGAATGCTTTACTGAAAGGAAATACTTATCTTTTTTCTCAAGGCCCCCGAACATGGCTGATGTTTCCGAGGCTTGAGAATTGAGCTGCTCAGCGTGTCCAGTTTTCCTCTTAAAAACCCTCGCCAGGCTCCATAAGTGGCCCCAGGTGCCCCAGCAAATGAAAGACGTCAGTTTGTAGTTGTACTCGCACGTCTTAGTTTCCAGACTGCGCTGCACAAAGGCTCCGAGCTTATCTGATAGGGTCTCCCCGCAGGGACCTCCAGCTCCCCGCTTTCCAGGAGAGCACAGCACATGCAGGGCGCTGGTGTCCAGGCGGGAGGTGGGGCTGTGGGTCAGGTTCACAGCGAGGCCGCTTAGGTGGCAGCCACAGGCAGACTCCCGGGCTCAGCGCTAGAGGACGGGCAAGCCAGGCTGTCCCCCCAGCTGCCAGGTAGTCCGAGCAACACATACTCAGTGTATACAGCGTGTCCCAAAAATGTACACACACTTGGAATGATTATAAAGTCAGTGTTTATTAATACACCGTTCATTTTCAAAATTTAAAGGAATCCAGGAATGACTAATTTTTTTGTCAATGCTGTCTTCAAACTGATGACCGTACTGGTCCAGGCCCTGCTGATAAGTGAAGCAGTGGAATCACAATCATTTTATTAGGTAGTTGTGTGCCTTTAATTCATCAACTGCTACCGCAAACTATCTTTTATGTATCCCCGTAAAAAAAAGCCTAGTGCACTTTAGGATAAATTTTCTTTGTTCAAATCAGTTAAACTTAAAAAGGAGTGAAAATTGTTAAAATGTAAATATATATATACACACACACTCCAGAGTTAAGCAAAGCTGAATTCACTCTGGAGCAGGCTGCCTGCTCACGCGACCATGGCCAGGGAGGGACTAACGCTCAGCGTGCGGGTTCGTGGTCACCTTGCAGTTCAGACTTGATCACGTGAAGCCCATTTTATTAGTAAACCAATGTTATTTTTTAAAACCTCTGTTTCTGTTCTAGTGACTTGGAGTCGGGGAGGGGCCACCCTAAGTGGCCCTCAGTCAGGGCAGTCTTACCACTGTGCCAGCTGTTTGACCAGAGTATGTCCGAGTCTCATCGTCATGCGGAGAATTATCCCTATGAGCCTGAGTAGCAGGGTAAGCAATGTGAATTTGAAGCACAGGGGTTAAATACTGTACGTCTGGAAAAAGGAAGGAATAGGAATCTAAACTCTTAAATGTAGTACAGGGAAACACCGTGAGCTTTTCCCTCTCAGAGGCTTAATGGCTATGAGTAGGCGCTCATTAGAGAGGCACACCCTTGCTTCCACAGCTTATGTTTTATTCAAAAGTGGCAGTAAGGGGGCAGATATTTTGAAAAGAACTACATCCTAGACTGTTATTTAATGACTAGTGCAAGTTTAAAAAACCTGGACCCTCCATTTTCTTAATTTAAAAAACTGAATTTCCAGTCCATTCTCTTAGTACTTTATAAATAACTTGAGAATGGGCTCTAAAGATGCATAAAACTGCCCCAAATTAAGACAAAAGTAGTTTTCAGCTTGAGTTAGTTTGCAAACACAAGTGGAATTTGCAAGGAGTTTCCTTTTTTTGGTGAGAGGTGGGGGATATGGATGTTGGACCTATTAATTTGTCCCACAGATCATGGAAGCTCTGCTCACTGCTTCTTCAGGTCACACAATATCTGTTGTGTAACTTCAGGTTCACTGGCTCTTCCTCTAATATCCATTCTGCTGATTAGCTCATCAGTGACTTTTATTTCAGATTTTGTATTTAAGTTCCAAAATGTCTATTCAGTTCTTTTTCATGGTTTCTATTTCTCTGCTCCAAATGTCAGTCTTTCTTAGCATTTTACCTTTTAAAAAAATACATGTTTTTATTATTTATTTATTTATTTTTTTTTTGTTTTGTTTAGAGAAAAAGGAAAGGGGTGGGGGGGGGGGAGAGAGAGAGAGAGAGAGAGAGAGAGAGAGAGAGAGAGAGAGAGAGAGAGAGAGAGAGAGAAAGAATATGAATGAGAATAATCTATTGGCTCCCTCCTGCACACCCCTTACTGGGAATCGAACCTGTGACCTCTGGTTCATGGTTGATGCTCAACCATTGAGCCACACCAGTGGGGCACTGTTTTACTTTTACCTCATGGGATATAGTTACAATAGCTGCTTTAATGTTATTAATGATTACCCAAATTTGGGTTGTTTTGGGGTTGATATCTGTTAGTTGTTATTCCCTTTGAGAATGGGTCACATTTTCCTCTGTTGTTTTTTGGTTGTTTGTTTGTTTGTTTGTTTGTGGCGGGTGGGTATGTCGGGTAATTTAGGTTGCATCCTGGACATTTTGAATGTTAGGTGCTGCCCACTTCAGACTCTGTTATGTAATCCTCTGGCAACTCTTGAGATTTTTTATTTATTTAAAGGCAGGCAGTCACCCTGGTCAGTCTTGCCTGCAGTGGGTGGTGATCCCAGTGTTTTTTCAATTTCCAAAGCCTTTGCCATGCCCCTCTAGCTGTGGGCACATGTGCCACGCAGGTTAGTCTGAGATGGCGGCAAGGCGGACTACTGGGAGTCCTCCGGACCTCTGCTGTGCTGCTCTGGGCTGTCCTGCACAGCTAGGGAGGAGCCTTGGGTTTCTGGGATCATACAGGGATGGGCTCCCTTCTCCAGGTCCCTCTTCATCCCTGTACTTCCCAGCCTCCAGGCTCCTTTCTCCGGACCTGTCATCAGTAGTTGGGTTTCTCTCAGAGTTTTCCTGCCTTCATTGCTACCACCATGCAGCTCTATGACACATCATTTGGGCTGCAGGGGCTCCCCCTCTTGGTTCTTCACAATGAAGTTTCTTTGAGCATTGTAGCTCCCGCAGCACCACACGGCTCTGCACCGGAGCTCCTCCCCAGCTCCAGGCTGTGAGAGAAAAGGGAAAATGGGAAGCCTTTGCCCACATGGCCGCTGCCTCCACAATGCACGGTCTTTACTTAACTCCCAGAGCCCTCGGGAACTGGCTTTTTGTGTTTTGTGCAGGGGTTGTGGTTGCAGCCAGCAGAGGTCAGAGGCAGTGTTGGGCTCACTGCATCTTGGCCAGCATCAGAAATCTCTTTTAAACGGCTTAAGGAAATGCTGTGCTCGGCAGTCGAGGCTTTGTTCAAGAAGGCCTCTCCCCACCCTGTGGCCCTCAGTCTTCTCCTCCGTGATCTGCTCCTTCTTTCTCAGTGCACTCTGGGTCTAGAGTGGGGAAGCTTATCAGGTTCCGCTGGGAAGAATCAGATGAGAGTTGGGGGTAAAGGGTTGCCAAGGCAGCATTCACTGAACCAACAAATCCCACTGCTTTTTCCCCATAATCTCAAGAGTATTTTTTAAAATATATTTTTACTAAAGGCCCAATGCACGAAGATTTGTGCAAGAATGGGCCTTCCTTCCCCTGGCTGCCAACACCACCTTTGCTCCAGCTGCAGTTGCCTTTCTGCCTTCACCCTGCCTTCACTGAGAAAGAAGGAGCAGATCACAGAGAAGACTGAGGGTCACAGGATGGGGAGGAGCCTTCTTTAACAAAGCCCCTACTGTCGAACACAGCATTTAATTAAATCATTTAAAAGAGAGCATTCTGATGCTGGCCAAAAGTAAAGGCAGAAAGGTGTGGAAACCTTTTCACTCCCCGCGCTGCCCAGAGGCTCAGCGTGGCTAGATGCAAGTGTCCTGCGCCCAGCCGCTGGGTGCCTGTGTATGCAAATTAAGCCACCATCTTGGATGGGTTAATTTACATACTCCTAACTGGCTGGTGGGTGTAGCAAAGGTACGGTCAATTTGCATCTTTCTTTTTTATTAGTGTAGATTGATTTCAGAGGGAGAGATAGAAGCATCAATTATGAGAGAGAACCATCAATCAGCTGCCCCCTACACTTCCTACACTGGGATTGAGCCTGCAATCTAGGCATATCCCCTTGACAGGAATCAAACTTGGGACCCTTCAGTCTATAGGCCGATGCTCTATCCACTGAGCCAAACAGGTAGGACATCTCAAGATTATTTTTAAAAATTTTTGTAGC